CATATATCCTACAGCACCTTGTACTAGTTCTTGATATCCCATCCAAGTTCTAACCAGTGCTGATTTAACTTAACTTCCAAGATTAGATAGGATCTGGTAATTTAGGTGTAGCCTTACTGATGTGTTACCTTCATGTATAACCCTCATGAAATTGACTAACCTCCTTCAATCTAAGGCAAGGTTGGTCAACGTTTTTAATTGAGGGGCTGAGGAGTCATCTGTGGCAACACTGCAAAGACTGGAAAAGTTATTTTCTGGAATACAGTTCCTAGAACGCCCCAGTCAACATGGCAAGCTCATCACTTGCCACTCTTTTTTGCTTTAGGTTGAACACCCGTTATTCTGAAATGTTCCAAAAATTGTCCATATGGGTGGCTGAGTCAGTGACACCTTTGCTTTCTGATAGTACAATGTACACAAACTCTGTTTCATGCACAAAATTACCATCAGTATATATCTGGTGTGTATGAAACATACATGAATGTCATGTTTACGTTTGGGTCCCATCTCCAAGATACCTCATGATGTATATGCAAATGTCACAAAATCCAAAACATGTATGTTCCAAAGCTTTTTTGACAAGGGATACTCATCCTGTACTAACTTTTTTCCCCCATGTCTGCCATCCACTTCTCTTCCTCTTCCATTTTCCTCCCCATCTAATACTCTTCTAGTCAAAGAACAGGTTGATTTCCAAAGCTTTGTATGGGCTCCTCAGGACAGAAGTTATCTATCTCTGTTTGAAGCCACCAGCATTCAATAATTTCCATGGATTATGTTTCCCTTGAGAAAAGGAACACAAGTACACAAAGAGCAAATCTATCTGTTCAGATGTTCTGTCCAAAGGGAGGACCCCGTTAGCTGTGCTGACAAATGGCTTTAGTGCAGCATTTCTCAACTTGGGGGTAGGGACCACTGCGTGGGGGGGGGGGCACAAGGGGGTATCGGAGGGGTTGCCAAAAACCATCAGAAAACACAGTATTTTCTGTTGGTCAAGTGGGTTCTGTGTGGGAGGTTTGGCCCAATTCTGTCGTTGGTGGCGTTCAGAATGCTATTTGATTGTAGGTGAACTATATATCCCAGCAACTACAACCCCCCAAATGTTAAGGTCTATTTCCCCCAAACTCCACTGGTGTTTACATTAGGGTATATTGAGTATTCATGTCAAGTTTGGTCGAGATCTATCATTGTTTGAGTCCACAGTGCTCTTTGGAGGTGGGTGAACTACAACCCCAAAACTCAAGGTCAATGCGCAGCCAAACACTTCCAGAATTTTATGATTGTCATGACAGCTCTGTGTGCCATGTTTGGTTCAATTTCAGTGCTGGTGGAGTTCAGAATGCTCTTTGATTGTAGGTGAACTATAAATCCCAGCAACTACAACTCTCAAATGACAAAATCAATTCCCCTCCTCCAACCCCACCAGGAGTCAAATTTGGGCGAATCTGGTATTTGTGCCAAATTTGGTCAAGTGAATGAAAATGCACAACGCATATCAGATATTTACATTATGATTAATAGCAGTAGCAAAATTATGAAGTACCATTGAAAATAATTTTATGGTTGGGGGTCATCACAACATGAGGAACTATATTAAGGAGTCGCAGCATTAGGAAGGTTGAGAGACATTGTTTTAGTGAGACTTCAGTGGGATGCTCCTCCGCCATCAACTCTGCTGGACCTGCCATGTCGTTCAAATGCCCAATCACCGTCTCCCAAAGCAGTTGCTCTACTCCGAAATCAAGAATGGAAAACAAAATGTTGGAGGACAGGAAAAGAGATTTAAAGATGGGCTCAAAGCCAACCTTAAAAACTCTGGCATAGACACAGAGAACTGTGAAGCCCCGGCCCTTGAGTTCTGCAGCTGGAGGTCAGCTGTGACCAGCAGTGCTGTAGAATTTGAAGAGGCACGAATGGAGGGCGAAAGAGAGAAACATGCAAGAGGAAGGTGCGTCAAGCCAACCGCGACTGGGACCGCCTTCCACCTGGAAACCGATGGCCTCACTGTGAAAGAACATGCAGGCCAAGAATAGGGCTCCACAGTCACCTACGTACCCACTGCCAGGACAACGAGGGATCGCCTAAGTAAGTAACTCAAGCAAGTGAGCCCAGCTGCATGTTGAAATCAGCAGCAAAAATCCCTTTCCATTTCATCTGACAATGATCAGCTCAAATGCAGTTTATGGCGCGCTAACCACATTTTTTTGTAAGCTGCAAAAATGCTTCTTCTTCTCGAGGGTTCCACTTTGGGAAGCAGTTAGTGGGTTTCCTTCTCTTTCTGAATCACGTTATTAAAACCCCTCGCCAGGGAGGGTGGGGCATTTGATTTATACACACACAGGAAAGCCAAATGCCGTTTTTAGTGAGCCTCGTCTCAGGTGTTTTCAAAATGACTGTGGTTGCAACCCTCCAGTGAGCCAACTGTGTTTGAAATAGTGGTCTAAAATTATGACTGTGACAATTTGCTCACTGATGCTGCACTGGCTCATGTTCACCTTAAAGGGAGTAAGAGTGCATGACATCCTTCAGATGTGTGGGATTATAACCCCATTGGACACAACCAATCCTGGCAGGAGATTATGGGATTTGTAGTCTACTGCCTCTAAAACAGTGGTTCTCAACCTGGGGTCCCCAGATGTTTTTGGCCTTCAACTCCCAGAAATCTTAACAGCTGGTAAACTGGCTGGGATTTCTGGGAGTTGTGGGCCAAAAACATCTGGGGACCCCAGGCTGAGAACCACTGCTCTAAAAGATTCCAGGTTGAGAGCCACTGAGAGAAAACCAAGATATTAAGGCAGCTTGTCTTGGCAGCTGGATAGTCTTCTCAAAACAAGTGGTTTTGCCCATTGGCTATACAGGTAGTCCCCGAGTTACAAACACGATAGGTTCTGTATGCATGCAAATAAGTTGAATTTGTATGTTAGTCAGAACAGGTATATTTTTTAAGTGTAACTCCAGCTAAAAATATATATTCTTTAGCTTGGATAGCATAGGGAGGGGTTAACATCCCTCTGGTGCCTACCAGGGCGAAATGTCAGGAGAGAATGCTTCTGGAATATGGTCATACAGCCCGGAAAACTAATAGCAACCCATTGATTCCGGCCATGAAAGCCTTCTACAACACATTTACCCTGTTTAGTGTTCAAGATCAGATGGCATCTAATGCCTTTCGGATATTTAGGCTTATTAAAAATCCAAGCCATGGATCTTTGCACATGCTCAGGGTATCAGCCAGTGTTGGCAGCCCTGAAAAACTGGACAGATTTTTTTTTGTTTATTTCAGAAACAGGCGCAGAATTAATACAAGTAAACAATCAAACCCAACCCTAACTGTTGGTGCAGCCACAGTTGGAACAGCACTAGGTTTTGGAGTTACCCAGATGCTTACGTTGCTACATTTGGCAGGCATTTGGCAGTGTAAAAAGGTACATGTAGCCAACACAATTGAGCATTTATTTAATGATGGATAATATCATCTTAATAGGGGAAGAAGAAGAGTTGAAGAATGGGAGCAGCAAGCATTTGCAAACGAAAGGGCTGACTCATTTCAGCCACAAGTTCTTTTTGGAGGATGGTGGTGGTGGTTTTTTAAGCGGTTCATTCTAGTAGCAATAGTTTGTAATACGATATGTGATACTCAACGATAAGAAGAGTTGAAGAATCACAGCAAATAGACTTATAAGTATAGGACAGGCATGGGCAAACTTGGGCATTCCAGGTTTTTTGGACTCCAACTCCCACCATTCCTAACAGCCTCAGGACTCTGTGGCTGTTTGAAGTCAGATGCAAAGCAGATGAAAGTACTTCGTACCCCATTATGCAGAGTCCATCCTCCCCGAAACCCCCCCAGGATGTAAAGTGCATCATGGGAAGGAGGGTGAAGTCTGTGTCCCAAGTTTGGTCCATGTCCGTCATTCATGTGGGTTGCAGTGGTTTATGAAAGTTGGAGCTGAAAAGGGTGGAAGTACTGCAAATCCCATCATACATGGTCCATCCTCCCCCAAACCACACTGGAATGTACAGTATGTCATGGGGGGGGGGGGTCTGCCTGCCAAATGTGGTCTAGGTCCGTCATTCATGAGGGACTCAGTGGTCGTTTGAAGTCAGATCCAAAGCAGGTGAAAGTACTGCCTATCCCATTATCCGTGGTCCATCCTCCCCCAAATCTCACCAGTATGTAACATGCATCATACGGGGGAGTGGGGAGTCTGTGTCCCAAGTTTGGTCCAAGTCCAAACTTGGTCCAGGTCCAAAAGGAAAGGGTCGGAGGGTGTTAGGAATTGTGGGAGTTGAAGTCCAAAACACCTGGAAGGACCAAGTTTGCCCATGCCTGCTGTAGATGGAGAAAATGACCAAGAGATCTAACTTTTTATTGTATTGAAATTGTATTTTATGGTCTTGGCACCAACTGTAAACCGCCCCAAGTCGCCTGCAGGCTGAGAGGGACGGTATATAAATATAGTAAATAATAAATAAATAAATAAATAATTTAAACACCCCCACCCCTATCACCATAACCTTGAGCTCATTGGGATAAGTGGGGATGGAAGGAGACCAACATTAAAGGAATCAATGACTTCCTGACTGCAAGCGGTTTGAAACCTGAAACCCAGATGCTTTCGGACTATCCCTCTTTCTTGGGCAGGAGACAAAAAGAGAGCAGCTGTGACCCCTGACTTCCCAAAGTATCCCATCTCCCCTTTATTCAAACCCACTAAATAACATCTGTCTTTCAAGCATCTGCACATAAACACACACTATCTCCTCTTTTCAGCCTCTTGCTCTCCAGTTCCTTCCCAAAGGGTCTTGCTTGGCACATCCATCTCCCATAGATAACCCCTGAACCCCAAATATCTCCTAAAGGCACCGGCTATCCCTCCTCTTCCTCCTCTACCCCTTTCCTGACACAATACTTCTCTCTTACACAGAAAAGATCTGGGGTGTCCAATAACTTACTTGGACCCTATAACTCACTCCAAACCCAAGCATCCTGGACTCACCAATCCCTTGTTGAACTCAGGGCCTCTGGATCGTCCTGCTCTGGTTTGGTGGATATTCCAGATGCAAAGGGAAACCGAGAGGACAAGCGGCAGCAGCATCTTCGCCTATGAGCCAATGATGCTTCCAGCCACACAGCCTTGGTCCTATATAGCAGCTCACACACAACTCCCCCTTCCCTCCACCCCTTCTTCCTGCCTCACTTCTCTCTCCACGCCTTCTGGGCAATTTCATAGAGCGCAGAAAACATCCCAAGTTCCCTAAAGGGAAAACCAGATCTAAAACCGAGGAAGAGAAAGGGGAAAATTGGAGGTAGGACTCTGTTGGGTTTGCTATATTTGTGTGTCAACTATCATTGGAGCACAAGGGATTGGGATTCTTGAAAGGTAAATTGAGATTGGCAAAGTAAGTGCACTGTTGCTTTGTAGGTTTCTTGACCCTAGTCACCAGGTAAATGCTCAAATGAAGCAAGTACACTAGAGTTCAAATCCCTCCTAAGTCGTCAAAACCATACTCTCAGCCCCACAAGGCCTTGTGATAGGGCTGCCATAAGTCCAAAATGACTTGAAGGCACATAACAACAACAACAACAACAACAACAACAATGTGTGAACTGTGCCAAGGGTATGAATACCTATCAGTTTTATCGAGCTCATCCATGACATGTTTAAACCAAGTTCTTTTCATATTAGCCAAAATGAAGTTTGCAGATTTCGGCAAATTCTTCCAAAATGAACTAAGACAACACTGTCCCCATTTGTATTAACCATATTCAATAATTTTCCAGCACAGAGAGCATCCTATTCTATTGGCTCGGGTGAGTTCCTGCTGTTAGCCCCAGCTTCTGCCAATCTAGCAGTTCGAAAACATGCAAATGTGAGTAGATCAATAGGTACCACTTCTGCGGGAAGGTAATGGTACTTCATGCAGTCATGCTGGCCACATTTCCTTGGAGGCATCTATGGACAATGCCAGCTCTTCAGCTTAGAAACAGAGATGAGCACCACCTCCCAGAGTTGGACACGACTAGACTTAATGTCAGGGAAACCTTTACCTTTACTTTACCACCATATTTAAATTCACACAAGGATGCTTAAACATGAATGATCTAGAACATGAATGGATGAAATATGTCACTTTTGGTTCCCCTCACATTCAAATTGGTTAAACTTTAGTGTTTTTTTCCCACTTCTCAAATGTGAAAAAAAAAATCAAAAATATGATCAAGTTTTTATCAAGTTCTTAGGAGCCCCTGATGGCACAGCGGGTTAAACTGCTGAGCTGCTGAACCTGCTGACTGCGGGAAGGTAACAGCACTCCATGCAGTCATGCTGGCCACATGACCTTGGAAGTTAAACTGCTGAGCTGCTGAACCTGCTGACCGGAAGGTCGGCGGTTCGAATCTGAGGAGTAGTGTGAGCTCCCACTGTTATCCCCAGCTTCTGCCAACCTAGCAGTTTGAAGACATGCAAATGTGAGTAGATCAATAGGTACCGCTTCTGCGGGAAGGTGACAGCACTCCATGCAGTCATGCCGGCCACATGACCTTGGAAGTGTCTATGGACAACGCCAGCTCTTTGACTTAAAAATGGAGATGAGCACCAACCCCCAGAGTTGGACACGACTAGACTTAATGTCAAGGGGAAACCTTTAACTTTTCCTTTATCTTCTCAGAACTATACTGAAACAAAATTATCTTCCTGTTGATTTCCCTTGGATTTCTGGCTGTCACATCGTTGTTAAGGCAAGTAGCAGAACTGAATATTTTTACAATCCCATGTATCTTAATAAGGAGTAATTTGCATTGTCCATGAAACCCACTGGATGGCCTTGGTCAAGTCACACTCTCTCAGCCTCAGAGGAAGGCAATGACAAACCTCTTCGGATCAAACCTTGCCAAGAAAACATTTTAGGGTTACCATCAGAAATAACTTGATAGCACAAAGCAATAATACATTTGCATTGTATTATTCAGTATATTTGACTTTTGAGTCAATGCAACAACATTCAAACTGAGACAAACAGGAGCCAGGATTCTTGGGTCCCTTTTTATTTATTGTAGCGAGGGCGGTGGAAGGGGAGAATTGACCAAGCCAGACTAACAGTCTATCACTTATTGAGTCAGATAACTGAAGAAACAAAACCTTGATCTCACCACATAAACCGTCTCTACCTTGCCGCTCACTTTGTTTGTTGTCTCCTGCAGAGGAAATACTCACCCTCCACCCTGTTTGAGTCTTCTAACTTGGGAGGTTTTCTCCCTCCCTCCCTCCTCAGTTCTCACCTTTCTTAATCTCCTGCTTCCATTTCACACCTGGATACTTCCCCAGAGGGCTGGATTGTCCTGCAGGAAGCAAAACTAAAGGTGTGGAAAGATGCCAGAGTTGCCTAGGATGGAGTTTGGATTGAATGGGTCGGAGGGCAAACACTGGATATTAAGCCCAATACTCACAGTCATACACTCTGCAAAAAAGGATGCATTACAGCTCCGTCTAGACCTGCTCTCCAGTGGCAGGTAAATCCTACAAAAAGAGAGTTTAGACCACTTTGGAGGATTGTATTTTGGAGGCAACCTTGCTATATGCCTGCAAAACGTGGACTGTCTACAGAAGTCACATGCAACTCCTGGAACGATTCCATCAGCGCTGCCTCCGGAAAATCCTGCAAATCTCTTGGGAAGACAAGCTGGCAAACGTCAGCGTGCTGGAAGAAGCAAAGACCACCAGCATTGAAGCGATGGTCCTCCGCCATCAACTCCACTGGACCAGCCACGTTGTTCGGCTGCCCGACCATTGTCTCCCAAAGCAGTTGCTCTACTCCGAACTCAAGCACGGAAAACTGAATGTTGGTGGACAGGAAAAGAGATTTAAAGATGGGCTCAAAGCCAACCTTAAAAACTCTAGTATAGACATTGAGAACTGGGAAGCCCTGGCTCTTGAGCGCTCCAGCTGGAGGTCAGCTGTGACCAGCAGTGCTGCAGAATTTGAAGAGGCACGAATGGAGGGTGAAAGAGAGAAACGTGCCAAGAGGAAGGTGTGTCAAGCCAACCCCGACCGGGACCTCCTTCCACCTGGAAACCAATGCACTCACTGCAGAAGAAGATGCAGATCAAGACCACTTATGGACCCACAAAAATTCTGATCCTGGAAGACTATCTCAAGTAAGTGTATTTTGGAGGCAGAAGGTGATAATTTTTCAAAGTTTGCATCTACATCAGCATTTCTCAGCCTGGGGTTTGGGACCCCTGGGGGGATCATGAGGGGGGTGCCAGAGGGATCGCCAAAGACCATCGAAACCACAGTATTTTATGTTGGTCATGGGGCTTCTGTGTGGAAAGCTTGGCCCAATTTTATCGTTGGTGAGGTTCAGAGTGTAGGTGAATTATAAATCCCAGTAACAGCAACTCCCAAATGTCAAGGTCTGTTTTCCCCAAAACCCACCAATGTTCACATTTGGGCATATTGAGTATCCATGCCAAGTTTGGTCATTGTTTGAGTCCACAGTGCTCTCTGGATGTAGGTGAACTACAACTCCAAAACTCAAGGTCAATGCCTAGCCAAACCCTTCCAGTATTTTCTGCTGTTCATGGGAGTTCTGTGTGCCAAGTTTGGTTCAATTTCATTGTTGGTGGAGTTCCAAATGCTCTTTGATTGTAGGTGAACTATAAATCCCAGCAATTACAACTCCCAAACGACAAATCAACCTTACCAGTATTCAAATTTGGGCATATTGGATATTTGTGCCAAATTTGGTCCAATGAATGAAAATATTTTTTCTTCGTGGTCTCTGCTAATGCACACTTGTGGAGAGACTGCGCCTGCGCGGGCTCCAACGGAAACTTCTACATTTTAAAACTTTTCAAGTTTTGGCGGTAACCCCGCCCAGCCCCGGCAGGGGATAAAAGGGCGCCCCGCGCACACCGATCCAATTCCTTTTTTTCCGCCGCACGGCTCGCTTCGGTACTTCTAGTGTTGGATAGAGATAGTGTTGGATAGTGATTCTTCATAGAGTTTCTCCGAGTTGTTCGACAGTATTATGTCAACAACTCGCTTCAAAAGATGCGCGAATTGTCCGAGGAAGAGCCCTGATTCGGACAAGCACGCTCTTTGCCTTTTGTGTCTCGGAGAGGCACATATCACCTCCTCGTGTCGTCATTGTCAATCATTGATGGCACAGTCCCGTAAGAACCGGGTCCACCGGCTTCGATACCTTCTGTACCAGCAGACGTTGGCTCCGGTACCTTCAACATCGACATCGGCGTCGACGTCAGCCGCGGTATCCAGGCCTTCGACATCAGCTTCGATGTCGAAGGCATCGACAACAACATCGGTCGATCCCTCGACTGAGGCCGAGCCTCGCCAAACAAGGGCGAAGAAGGCTGCGCAGAAAAGGCCGAGGGCAGCTATGTCAACGACTTCGAAGGCCTCAGTGTCGGCAGCTTCTAAGGCTACAAGGCCTACGAAGCAGAAGGCTCCATGCACGGTCACTACCGAGACCGTACGCATCCGACACTCGTCGACCAGCTCTGTGGCATCGGTGAGATCGATCAGGTCCACGAGGTCGACGTCGGCAACTCCGCCATCTTCCACGGCGGTTCGCATTGCATTTCGTCGGTCTCAAGAAGAGTCTCGGCGCGCTTCCACCTCATCCTCCGTCCCGCCCACCCTGGGCAAGTCGGTATCAAAGTCTGCTCAGCCGCCAGCAAAGAAGAAGAAGATGATGCCGCCTCCATCCTCGTCTTCTTCTTCTTCCCGGAAGCAAACAACCGCCTCCTCGGCCACCTCGTCGGCGAGGTCATCGCCGTCGCAGCCTGCTGAACCCCAGCAGGTCCCACAGCCTGTTCAGGCTCCGCAGCCTTTGCCGGAGCGGCCTTCGGAGCAGCCCGAGTCCCCAGTGATCTCGGTGGACACGGTGATCGAGGCACCAACTCGACATGTGACAGCCAGACAGGAGCTTTTCCCGTCGGTCACGTCTTTGACCACTGTGACAGCCACACAGGAGACTTCTCCAGTGCTGGAGACTCCGGAGAGGGGCAGGCAGACTATGAGACTGGCCCGTGCCATTCAGGCCTCGGCCTCAAAGGCCCGCCCAGTGGCTCCTCTACAGCTTCCGAGTTGGGATGTCTCCTCATCCCCTCCTCCCCAATCCCTGGC